GGGGGGGGGAGGGGGTAGCAGTCGCCTCCGCGTCGCCAGCCGTTAGTTCGCCGTGAGCGCTCGTTACGGGAGGGTCTGAGATTACACGATTCCACAATTTTCAGTGTGCTTCACGATTTCTGTCTCATGTTCATTGAATTGAATGAAATTTGATCACAGAATTGAATAAACTGAATTTGTTGAGTAATTATTCGTGTTTTTGAACAGATGATGGAATATTTCGGTGTCAAATAATAGTTTGTACATGAGAATTTGACAATTGTGAAAGAGTTTGTGACATTCATCATAAAAGATTGAGTTGAAAAAAAAATTAAAGTGAACTTGAGAATTATCAGAGAGGTTTGTAAAGATTATTTTCCTGATAAAATTGTCAATGATGGATTGTTGGACTTTATGAATCAAGTCACAGAGAAACAGAACGACAGGTCGAACATTTCCAAAAGTGATTTGAAAATCGTGGCTCGTTGACACTCTGATTGCAATAAAAGTGCGTGAGACTCACACAAATTTTTTACATTCTGTGATAAGACATTTTTTCCTCTCAACCCTGGACAGTTATTATCATTATTGCGTCATGCGTTAACGTTTTGGCGCTATTTCTCCTTCTCATCGGCACAGTTTCTGTGTTCTTTTGTCCCACTAGCCCTCCTATTTTTGTGTATCTCTCTGTGAGTGTGTGTGTCATTTTTTTGCCCGGCATCTAATCGTTTGCAAAGCGCGTGTTGCCACTGTCTGAACACTAGAGGGAAAAACAAAACGTAAGGAGCCGGTGCAATTTTCCACGCGGTGTGTGCCAGGGCCTGAATATGTCAGCTAAGCGAAAGGCCACTGCCATCATGCAGCACCACAAGGTGAGTCAACGAGTTTCTTTGTCCATCATTTTTTCTTCTTCTTTTTCTTCTTTTTCAAATCCGTTTGCTTCTCGTTTTTACTGCAATGTCTCTCGTTATCTTTATTTTTCTCCTCAGTATTTCTCTCTCGGTAGTTTCTTACTGCTTTTATTTCTGACTTTGGGTATGCTGCTGGTGGCGAGCTAGTGTGAGGAGATACTCCTCCCACGTGATCTAGACTTCGGTATGATTCTTCCCTTTGGACTTTCAAGAAACTTTTGTGAATGGAAAAAAAAATAATGGAAATCGTTTTTCTTTTTTTTTTTTACTGATGAATCATTTTGGAGAGATGAATCGAGGCAAAGAAACGAAAATAATTTCTTGAAATGTTGTATCATTGTTTTGTTGAGTTGGTGCACCTTGAAAGGTCACCTGAATGCTCAAATTATGTGAATACCGCACTATCACCTTCGAGAGTTTCATTCACCCGTAAATAGATTTAAATGGCACGACACAACACACGTCCGCAGCACGTACCAAACTCACAACTTGGTAACTCTCGCGATACACACAATCCAATTACATACACCCAAAATACACGTTTAACCTGAGAATGCGTCTTAACTTTGGCTAGAGATAAAAAAAAAATGACAAAGTCAGAAAAAACGTCAGTGATTGGACTCACTGCGGTCACTCAGATAATCACCAACGCAGAGTTTTTAATCGATTCGTCACATACGTCAATTTTCACTGTCAGTGTCTGAGGAGGAGAGCGGGCCGATTGTCTTTAATCCTTGATATGTCGACATTGAGAGAATGACGTTCCACAGATTTGACGTCAATTTCATGTTTTTCGTCAGTGCCACCCAATTTATTTCATTTTGCCCCCGGCATTTGGTTGTATCACCGTTAATCTAGGTGATGTATGTAGTCAAATTCACACTTGTAATTTTGCAAACGACAATTTCGAATTTTCCCACCTTGAGGGCTCGACAATTCGTTACAATTAATCAGTGATAATGACATTTTTAGCGACATTATTAACAACCCAATGTCAAGGATGTACAATGTAGATCCATAAATATCGAGTATATCTAATGAGAAAATAAAAAAAAATCAATTAATCAGATTGATTTTATAACGATATCTTTATTTACATGTTTTTACTAATTGAGCGTAGAGAGATCGTGCTGATTGTTTGATGTCATGGTAAATCCTCGGGGCGAACCAACGAGTTATAAAACACAAAGCAAAAAAAAGGAAGCACAAAAAAATGAAAAATGAAATTTAAAAAAGGTGAAAAAAGAGGGGCAGTGATATGGTCAGAGATGAGAGGGGATAGCGATTTATAAAATATTAACCTCCGGTTTGTCCCCCTCCCCTCCCCCTTTACTCTCGTTTTTTTTTTCTCTTTTTCTGTGCGTGCCTCGTCAATTTATCGATCGTCGAGAGGTAGCCACCCAGTGCTCCAGCGTTATCGCTGCCACGTGCAAACTCCATTTTTTTTTGTTTCAATTTCGTTCTTTTTGTGCAGTTGGTTTTTATTTCGTTTTTGTCTCTCTGTGTATACGCCCCATTTTCTGGCACCCATGGGTTGAAACATCCGTGAATCTCACCAATTTGATTTTTTTTCTTTTTCCCTTTTATTTTTGGAAATTCATTTCACTGATCACTTGCCACTCGACTATGTATTGGAGTTTTTTTTTTTGTTTACTCGGGAGGGAGTAGCGAAATGTTTGATGAATATAATTTTTTTTATAATAGGAGAGAGAAAAAAATATAGGATCATTCGCATGAAATATAAATCCATCAGCAATAATAATTTGAAATTAATGAAATCAAATGAAAGCCCCGGCAAAAGTTTTGCGTAAACTTCCAATACAAGTTGAGGTAGGTTAAGGGACACGAAAAATTATCCATCTTCTTTCATCACTCAAAGCCCGAACCCATCTATTTTCTTCAGCGAGTACTTTGTCTCTCTTTTGGCCATTCAATACGTACACCGATATTGAGTTGCGCTCTCTTCTTCCTCCTCCTCCCCATTCGTACATAACTTTATCTCAGTTGCACTCTCTCAATCTCCGTCGCACTCGCGTATATAACCAAGGCTGGGGGTACTACTCTTTGGCTCTTTGGCGGTCCAACAGGTTATATTTTTTCAGCGTCTCTCTTTCCCTCTCCTCCTTGTTCAGTCTCCTCTGTATTTTCTTTTTTTCTTTTCTTTATCAAAGCATCCACCTTCCATACTTTTTTCTTTTAATTCTCTCTTTGCCCTCGTTTCCTCTTTACCTCTTCGTTCCTCTTTCTTATTTCACTCACTTTTATGTTTATTCATTTTCATTTTTAATCTCTCTTTTTTCTTCCTTTATTTCGTCGCAGGAGGCCGTCCAGCGGACTCGAGGCTTTTTTTTCTCTCTCTCATCCTTTTCCTGACGTTCTGCACAAAGTGCAGACACCTCGATGTCCGACTCAAATACCACCCATCAAAGGTGCAGACGGTGCAGACCGCAGACGGAAAAAAAAATTGTCCTTAATTCAAGAAAAATTATTCTTGAATAATGTTGAGCCTTTCCACATCTCCGTTTTAACTGGTTTCTCATCATTCGTGACGTATCAATCGTATCTATTATCGCCTGTGGTACACAACCAAGTAAAACAGTTTCCTGTTGTTAAAATTATCCAGTTGCTATTTACAGTTCTTCAGGATTCGTAATGCCTCCTAACTGTGCTTGCCGCAATTCATCAGATAACTGATAGCTGTGGGTAATTGAAACTCCGTCCCATGCCATTAATAAAGATATTCAGAAAATTAATGACGATTGTATTGATGTGTTTTCTGCATTCAGTGATGATGCATAAATTTCGTGGCTCGAGAATGATGATTAGATAAGTCATGAGAGACAGTTTGTTATTATTTAACTTGATTGAGTAGCGAGGATTAGGATATATAAATAAATGTCAAATTGGAGAATATTTTTTTGTTCCTCGTTTTGGGAAAAACCCAGTGAGAGGTAAGAGAGTATGGATTTCCCATAAGACGTGGGTATGCCAGTGCCTGGAGCCGACAATAAGGGAGGGTGCGCCTCTAGGTACCCATGTGCCCAGCCACGCTCTTATCCCTCCATTCGGCTTACCCAACACTCCCTTGTGTTCAAACCGTTTCCATCCTGTGTATGTATACGTGTGCACACAAACTCGCGATATATATTCTCGCTTCCATTTCCAACCGGACGAGCACTGGCACACTACCGCCAACCACCCAACCACCCCCTTCAGGTATACCTTGCGTGTGCTATCGGCTCGGCCAACCCACCCTTTTATCCACCCGTGTGTCTGTCCCCCTTTAACAGAGAGAGAGAGAGAGCCGAGAGATCCAGTCCTCTCTCACTCTCTCGTTTTACCACCCTATGGCGCTTTTGCTACACTCACGCCTCCCAACCACGAACCCCAGTGTGCTCCAGAAGCTCAACGATTTCAACCTAACAGGACCACGCCTGCAATCTACTCGTGTTGGAAATATAGATTTTTTTTCCATTTCATTTTATTTCATTTTTGGGTTTAAAACCAGTTGGACCATCATTTCTCGTTGTATTTCGGTAGAGAGAGAAAGAGAGAGAGAGAGAGAGAGAGAGAGAGAGAGAGAGAGAGAGAGAGAGAAATCATTTCAATTGCATTCGTCGAGAGAGGCAACTATTGGTGGAGTCATTTTTCAATTAATGAAGCAATTCATTTTTTCAAAGTTGAAAAAGTAATTAAAATGCTAGTGGAAAATATTCCATTTTATCGGGCATTCTCTCTTCCCTCTCTGTGATGATTCAACCAGTTTCAATGATTTCACGATAAATTTCCTTGCCCCTTTCAACGTTCCTCACGCAAAAAAAAGGTGTAGGCGAAATAATTTTCCCTCGAGTTTATGCCTCGCCGTTCAACTCGCGAGTCTGGGAACGATTGGAGGTTTATCGACACTGGACGACGGTCGACAACATCATGCATGTGGCCATGTATGTGTGACCAGTTACCTCTCGCAGTGTCCGCAGTATCGCAGACACACACTGGCACAAATCTGCCGACCGGAATTGGTGAGCAGTAGGCGTGTGTTGATAGCATGCGGCTTCGATGTTTGTTGCTGGCACCAGAGAGGCCCCGTGTGTGTACTTCGTCCCCGTCCCACCCCACCCCAATGTCCATCTTTTTTTTTCTTCTTTGTCTCTGTCTCTCAGTCTCACCTCTCACTCGCTCTCACCAAGCCACACGGAGTTGGGTGATTCAGGGAGCCATCCGTGTCAAGGTACACCGCATCGTCGGCGTCCACATGCAACGCTCTGTATTTTTTTTGCAACAGTCACGCCGTTTGCGAATGAACCGCGGTTCCATGTGTGTGTGTGTGTGTGTGTGTGTGTGGTACAGCAGGGTCGCAGGGACAAACTCACGGGATCGTGTGGCGAAATGAATAAAAATTGAAAAATTGATATTAATGTTGGAGAAACTGTCGAGTAGACGGATATTAAATTTTTTTATTTTACAGCCGTTCATAGATCTAGAATTTATTTTTATGGAGTACTGGTCTTTTGAATTGAATTTCATGCCATCTTTCGTTTCGCGGAGAAATTTGATTTAGCCGAGAATTCAATCTTCATTACATGGAACTTTAAATAGAGTCATCTACGGTAGAGCATCATGAATCATTTTAAGTAATATCCCGACTTATTCTACAAGCTGAGATTCTTCCTCTCCCACATAATTTAATATTGTGAAATGTAATTGAATGAATTAAATATCTTCACAGGTGTCTCAAGATTTTGTCTGCAGTGCCAAAAATGATGAAGCTATTGAATGAATGAAGGAAAAAGATTCAAGATGAACAATTTGATTAATTAATTTAATGGTAAAGTGGCGAAACGCGACGAGATGAATAAGCTCCAGATAAAAATGATAGATTGGATTGACATTTTTTCCTCGGCTCTTTGTAAATATTAGAAGAATACTCTCTCATTTCCATTTTTCCCATTAAAAAATGGACA